TGTGGTTACATGTGAGGTTATGCTATCGGTTTAGTTAATTGTAATCAACAGGAAGTCCATAATAAAATCCCATGGATCTTTTAAAGAATAAATTATACAATATAGTCACCGACGTAAATGTGATAAATTTTACATATAATTTACAATACACAGACTATTATAGGCGAATATTTGTGTGTGTGTGTGTGCGTGTCAGGCAACAGTTCCCAACACTTGGAGTCACTGTTGTCTCTCCTGTTGTGCAATTTGCGAGTGATAACATACGGTACATTTTGGGTGATGGTTTATATAATGTATAGGATACATGATTGAAAGCTATAATTATTCCGAATCTGTGACTAATGGTGTGATTATGAATATATTAAATAATTTCACAATATTTTCAAAACAGTTGTTTAACATATTCATGTTATAAACAAAGCACGCTAAGCACGTCAGACTAAACAACAATATTGCTTAGGTGTTTACACAGTCTACTATTCTATCTATAAAGCAGAACAAACAAGCATGTTTATGACATTACCTTCTTGATAAAATTCCACTGCGCGGGAAATGCAAGTGTTTCATTCGCTTAGAATTACAAAAACAACTTGTGGCAATCAGCATACGATGCATGTTCCGATGAAAATGTACGGAATAATGACTGACTCCAGTTTTCTGTGTTCACGGTTATTCCAGTCACACGAAACTGTGTGCGGTGTAATGGGTGTATAATGGCAATACCTTAATCAAAAACATTGGCGAGTAAATTGTGTATTGAGATGCACGAATGGAAACGTAAAAGCACGACGTTGAAGAACGCTGTTTTCTGACTGGAAAGCTGGCGATGCGGAAGATAGGCACAACAAACCATATATAAATAAATATTCGAACACATATAAATGCCAGATTTGTTATGTAATCTTGTACAAACTTTGTAATGTTCGCGTCGTATTATCATGATTAAACTTGTCTGCCTGAATGGAAATTTCATTATTAATGTATTTTTTGTAAATGTGTCCGTTGGATCTGTAGCTTGTTAGATACAACAACTAATTATAAAAATAATTATAAAGGAATGACACGCTCATACAATGCGCTATGTTTTGATTGTATGTTTGTCGTTTAACCTTTTCACTATGCTTCCCATGATGGTTGGATTTACTCAAACCCATTTCACTTGGATACTGTTATTGAAAAGGAAATAATATAAAATTACCGTAAATGTCGCGTTGTCACGTGTTCCCGAGAAAGAGCCAAATTTTATTTTTTTGTTTGCCGATAGGTGAAATACGCCACACTACGTTTACGTGAACATATAATATTACAATAGAACGCACCCAATCTTAACAACTAGTGAATTAAAAACTCAGTGAACGTGTTTTAGTATAAAAGTATTGAATTAAATACCACAGAAAATTAATGTCGCAGTATTCAAACTTTAACATTCAAACATTACTCACAGGTGAATGAAATGCAAGACATATAATTGTCGATTTTTGAAGAGCGGTACAAGCCGAGCAATAACAGCAATATTCTTATATCTATATCTTATCTATAGTTTATTCCAAGTAATCATTAGGCTATATTACCACACTAACAGCAGACACGTATGCGGCTTAGATCATTACAAAAATGAACTGTTTTGTCTAGCAGTTATTTATTCAGCACTTCTATGCTTTATAATTGCTCTCGGTTTTCAAGGTCGATCGTATGACATACACCCCTAGTCTCGTGTTTTTGAATTTGGGTGAATTTATTATCTCTCTAGACGAGCATTTGGAAAGTTTTCGATGTTTTTGAATGCTTATGAGGTGTTTGCTCTGTCTATTTCCAGCATGTGCGTTCAGCTTTTGACACTGTAACACGATAGTATGAACCGACAATTAATTCGATATCTCTACTACAGAAAAACACTTTTTCAATACATTAATCAATTACAAGAACCAGGCCAAGCACAGGTCAGATTAATAATATGGTGATTAAATCAAGAATAATAGTTTACTATTCTTGTATTCAAATTGCCTTTCATGTCATACAATTTTTTGTGACGCCCGTGATCACACTCTGGCCAAGGCCTGCAATGACTAACTCGCCACTTTTGAGAACTAATGTGTGCTTGTAATTTGAAACAATAATCAGTCATGTGTTTTCAAATACCAATTAAAAATATGTTGCTTTTAGTTTGTATTTTTATTTAAACTCGGTATATACCTGTTTTCAATATCAAAGAATAAAAGTACAGTGCTGTCTTAGTGCAAATCAAGTAACATTTTCGGAGGGGAAAAGTGGGATTCAGTCGAATAATGTAGTATCGGCTTGAATTGTTGTATTTTCTACATATTGATTTATTGAACGTGTGTTATATTAAATGCAAAATCGTACAAATATTGCAAGTCTTAAAATCTCTTATGCCAATTAAATGAAGTTCATATGAAGATATTGCCCGACAAATCAAAAGCGAATATTATTTACCAGTTCTGACTTTCACATGCCATTTGGAAAATTAGTATTTATCTCCGTATCTTTATTTCTAGCCAATATAGTGGACGTGCATTTTTATCTAAGTCGCGTTGGGGAACAATAATATAATAAATTGTGATATCTATGAATTATTCAATAATATATTCTAATCACTCGTTTGAAAACTGTCATTTTCAGTTCTACAGATTGCATTTATCAACTCTACAGATTACACACCGTCAGCGTATATAATTAACTATAATAATGGCAATAACTAACCATATTTGAATATCACATGACAATAAATATATTTACCATAAATTGACTTATTGCAACGCCCAAATTTCACATGGAATATTGAAATTGACATTAACCATAACGTCTTTCTACCAATTCAAATACATCTTTATTGATCTCGTTGTGACCTCGCTACTTTCTATTTTTCGGACTCAACAAATTTGGCACTCAACTATTCCCCCAACGCATATAGGTGTTGTCGAGAAGGCACCATAGAAGAAGAATTATGTCCACAGTGTGTAGTACCAATGATTTAGGGTTTACGGGTAAAATTAAATAAAAGACGATCACGGAACTGTACAAACATGCATTTGAACCCCGTAGGCAGGACGGTGAGACCCTTGTCAAATTACAAGGAAAATTAAAACATATAAAACACAGTACAAGTAACATAAAACAAAAAAGCGCGTATATTTGCAGATACCCCAACCAAGAGGACGGAACTCTTGTGCGTGTTCTAAACTTGGTTGTGCATTTGTGAACGTGAGTGTGAATAATGGCAGTATGTGCCAAGACAGTATGGTGATATATTTATATATTTTGAACTCTTTTATAAACCTCATACGACACTGGAACACGCCAATTCATCAACTGTCCGTTACGTGGGAACATAGCTCAAATGAGGTTGTTCGCTTAAACATTATTGCGCACGTAACCTTCCATGTCGCAGTTTCTGTAGTGAGCAGCGCGTCGTTCTTACCTCCGTTAATAGTCGTCGTACGCTTTGCTGTTAAATACATTAAGAACCTTTCAGCAACTTAAAAAAAGTATTTGGAGTTCATGTTCTCATCTAAATTCATTGCTCAACATATTGAGACTCATAGATAATGTGGTACTCCTATGGAAAATAGATTTTGTTCGTTATGATAAATTGCAGTTGAAAATAATAAATGTACTATTATGGAAACTGCCGATTGATAATATTAGTGGTATTTTTAGTCACTAATTTATCTTTATTTCAAAAATATTACATAATAATAATTGCGTGTGTATGATCTTTGCTACGAGAAACTGTGAACATTTCCTTCGGTTTAGTGGGAAGCTATTTCTTCTGAGAAATTTAAATGCATGTTAAGTTAATCATTGTCAGCGTTTATCAAATCACGTGACGAATAACCGTAAACACTGGGTAGGTGGTCTGTGTTGATAATGACAAGAGACGCAGCCACGCATTAAGGTAGCGGGACTATTATTTGCATACTTGTTTTCATCTTCTAATTGTGACTAAATGACTACAAATAGACCCGGGAAAGTATATATTTTTAGAATCGCCAGATTTCAAGCTTTTCACAAGTGTATTTTGCATGCCGGTATCTGCATTCTACGACGCGTTACTCAATCAAAGGTGAAAAATTACTTTTTCTGTAAAAAAAATAATTACGCATTTATGCTGGCGAAATAAGAAGTATTTTTTTCACTTTTCCTAGTTGTTCAATAGTCTGGTAAATT